CTTGGCGATCCTCAAGTAGGTAACAAAAAAAGACATTTAAAAAGGAACCATTAAAGCAATCATACACAGAAGCTTCCCACAGAATGGATAAAGAAAGGTTTCAAAGTATCCTTTTGCCACTTCACCTACACAAAATTAACATTCGTTTGCTGATGGCAGCTTTACCTGGACAGGCTATGAGAACTCTTTAACAGGAGGTATGAAATTATTAACAAATGCCTAAAACTGTGTACGATATTACCTCTCCATTTTAGTATAATCAGGCTCACTAACTAGGAATATTGTTCATAAAAACTAAAACTTTTTAAAGTTCTCATCAATTTTCAAGGAACTACCATAAAGGAAGAAACAAACCAATCAGGGTAAAGGTAGAAAAAAAAAGACAGAAGACAAAAATAGGAATAATGCAAAGAATGCACGTTCTTCAAATAAATCCACATCTTCAAGCCAGAAAGCTATTTTCCCCCATCTACAATTCTTAGTAATGCAGTTAGCAGCCTTTTTTTTCAATTCCAATTTCCTTCCCTAATGTTTCCTTTTCAAATGAAGCAAGAAAAAACAGCTCATATTTACAAGAATTCAGGCAGCAACAGATTTAGAGCCAAAAAAACATTCACTTCTTAGTGAATGAATGCTTTCACTCTGCAAACAGTGAAACAAAGTGAACATAAACAATTCCAGCTCCTGCTCTCTCCTCTTCTTGTGGTCACTGGAACTGAGGACCCATTTCTAGTAGATAAAACCAATTTGCGCCCCAAGTAAAGCTCTAATCTGTACCAAAATCCAGTTTACTTTCTCCTATACACTAACTGCAATATAAAGCTTGAAAAGAAAATAAAATCATCTGCATAGAAAAAGCACCAGGAAGTAGAGTATTTCCAACACAAACCACTATTCCTCTGACAATTATAATCTTTCAAAATGAGAACATGCACTGCATGTCTGCTCAAGCAAAACTGAAGCAAAGCCTGGCAAAGCAAGGCAATAAGAAATCAGCCAACAGCAGTCCTGCATAACTGCAGTGATTTCCTCTAGCCCTGGAGAAAACAGTGCCCCTGGCTATTATGGAATGGATGCATCTCTCTCTCCAATTTCTTATGAAAACTTTAGTATTTTCTATTTTCCTTTCTTCCAAGACCTAACAAATAAATACACTGTAAGCTTCATTTTTTCATTGAAAAAAAAAAATAAAATTCAGACTAATTAGGCAATAAAACTTTTGCTGGTGAAAAAAGAGAATAACAAAACCATTCAAGTCAACAAGTGTCTCAAGAAGATTTTTAGACCATGAATTACATCTTCAGGACCTGAACAGGTACATTCAGGAGAGAAGAGCACCACAGCTGAAATACAGACTTACAAATCTAGGCCTCAGTTTGCACTTATGCCACTACTGAGCTGCATCTTATATTTTTTTGGACTGCGTTTCAGAAAAAAAAAAAAGCCTCTGCTTGGCACCTTTTCACTTTAACAGATTTTTTTGGAGTCATCTTGACATTAATTAAAAGAAAAGATCAGAATCACTATCTTCTGGATTTGTTGCTAAGTAGGGATTGATTCTTTCCAAAATAGTTGGCACTTTAATGTCACACTCCAGCAGTTTCATACTATACTCAAGGATAACGCCCTTCTAATGTTAAATTTTTTAACCCATAAAGGTCTGTTCAAAACACAGAGATCAAATGAAAATATACTGTGAATTAAAATAAGAGAGAAAGGGGTAGAGGCTGTTAAATGAAGCAATACCCAGTGTCGGAGCACAGAAGCTTGATCTGGGGCAGTGCTATGGGAGCCAGGCTGGTTTTAGATGGCACTCTCCTGACCGGTTCAACCACAGCACTACAAGCAAAACTGAAGGACAACACAAGGATAGGAGGAAATGCTGCTACTGAAATAAAAATCACATTAACTACATTTAAGTGCCCTGTTTAGAGACCTTTCCCACTTCATCGCCTGAATACAGCAGCCTTTGTTTGCAGTTAATAACCAAGACGAATTTAGTATTAGACTGTAATCTAACACCAAGTTAGTCCATGGGCTTTCAGACCTCTGGAATTTGCCTTTTTTAAAACAAACAAACAAACAAACAAAAAAAACAACAAAAAACCCACAACACATCCCAAACCTAACTGAAATGAGCCATTCTGCATCTGATGCTCTAGGATGTAAACAGTGGCTTTTACTGCTGTTAAAAAAAAAAACACAAAAAAGCTTTGAAATATCATTTGACATGAAAGGACTGCACTGACAGCTGACCAGGCTGCAGATAGCAGCATGCCACCAAAAAAACATCTTCATCCATTTTTATGGATTTTACTCCCAGTATTCAGAATATCAAAAGACATTACAGAGATACTACAATCAACTGTGGATCAACTACGAGTTAGTCCAGTGCATGGGCACAAAACCCCAGAAGAATCTTTAGAAACAATCTAATTCAATTCTTGCAAAACATAGGCATGACTTCACATGTAGTACATGATTTCGCCCTCAGTCATGCTACACAGTACATTGCCTCTCACCTCCCCCTAAAACAACTGAATGAAGGCAAGAGGAATGAAAACAAGTGAGCTCTTCTCCAGCCACTGAGATTGCTGAAGCTATTGTTTAGTTACAGAACAGAATTAGATGGTTAAGCTTAAGTCCACTGCATTAAAATGATTACATGAAAGCAGCTTAGAACAGCATTCAGTGGCTGGGGAAGCTGAAGCCTACTTCATTATAGCTTTACGAGGTTTAAAGTTCAGTGTATGCTGGATAGATTAGACGCATATCCAAGAAGAGTGTGAATTTAGAGGTATGTCTTATCTACATCAGGGATGTCAAAGAGGTAACATCTGCTATATAGTACAGATTCAGTAACATCAGTAGCACATTAAGTAAATTTCAAAACAGGATGAAAGCAAGACCCAATAAAAAGCACGCGCATTTGTGCCAGATTTCAAATTTCGTATGAACAGTCAGGTCAACTGGGTTTTATTCAAATGGATTAACCATATAAAACCTCATTATGTCTGACCATCTCCCAGCACAACACTGAACATCATCCTGAATGGCAGTCATGTTTTCTAGAGGTGTTGCAGAAGTCTTACGCAAGGAGTTCTCACTTAGAAGTGCGGTCATTTAATAACATTTCTAAATAAGCGAAAAAATTCAAGTATGTTAAAAGATCCTTTTCCCCTTTAAATTCATCTTTTCTAATTGGTATTGTATGGCAATGTCAAAAATTTAATTTTCAAACTGAAGTCACTATGATCCCAATGTTCAATACATTTAATAATTCACTAAGCCTCAGGTGTAACGTAGAGGATGCCAATTCAAATGCTTGAATAAAGAACTTGACATATTGCATAAAAAGCATTATCACTCTAGATTTAGCTTGACAAGAGAATTAAGCCAACTGAAAACTTGAAGTCATTACTTTCTTCACAAAGATATTTATACAGATTTGAGACCTGTGATATAAGAACAACATTGTTGATATTTGTAACATAAGGGAAATCCAGCTTTGCTGTATGGTCGCAGGTATCCTTTCAGGACACATTTTTAAACACAAAAGGAAACGCTACCTCATGGATTCTTTTATACACTGTAGATTTGACCCACCAGTCACCATTACGAGTATTCAAGTGCAAACCTCCATTCTCAGCAGAATACATTTCTGCAGAGCAGTAATTTTCTTATTCTATTTCAAAAATACAGGCAAGGTCCACTGATTCAACTGACAGTTTTACTTACACAGTCTACTGTACTTCAGTTACTGACAGCTGCAGCCTAAATAATTGTTTGAGTATGATGAACAACATTCAGTTTCACACTTACCTGCTACTGCTGTCCAGTCAAACTATACTGAGAAGAGAGCTGGCTTTTATTGGAGAAGCTAATTTATTAGAACAATTCTAATTCCCTTTACTCACTCCAGAGGATAAAAAGATAAAAGTATTAAATCCAAATCTAATTTAATTCTGTAAACTCTTATGACACTCATTTAAAGAGGAAAAATTGTTAGTCTTGTCATAATCCCAAACAAACATGAGGAAAAACATGACTATCTGTTAACTCAGAACTTAGATCTGATTCACATATTCACAAAGAAAATCTGTACAAGTCTTTCAGACAGTCATGCCAACATTTTGAAGAGCAAGTCCCTATAGTTAGACATTTAAACGCATATTCAAGCATCTAAATGACTACTGAAAGGTACTTGAGCAGCTCTTAACTATTTCAGCTGTAGACGTTGGACACTCAACACTCCTTGAAGCCATATCTTTTTCTTAAGAACATATTGTCTGGGTTTCAGCTGGGATAGAGTTCATGTTCTTAGTAGCTAGAATAGTGCTATGTTTTCAGATTTAGTATGAGAACAATACTGATACTACACTGATGGTTTTAGTTGTTGCTAAGCCGTCAAGGACTTTCAGCTTCCCATGTTCTACCAGGGGCACAAGAAGATAGAAGGGATCACAGTCAGGACAGCTGGCCCAAACTGACCAAAGGGATATTCCGTAACATATGACGTGCTCAGTATATAAAGCTGGGGGAAGAAGAAGGAAAGAGGGGGTGCTCAGAAGTGCTGGCACTTGTCTTCCCAAGTAACCGTTATGCATGATGGAGCCCTGCTTTCCTGGAGATGGCTGAACATCTGCCTGACGATGAGAAGTAGGGAAGGAATTCCTTGTTTTGCTTTGTTTGCACGCGCAGCTTTTGCTTTACCTATTAAACTGTCTTTATCTCAACTCATGAGTTTTCCCACTTTTACTCTTTTGATTCTCTCCCCCATCCCGTTGGTGGGGAGTGAGAGAGGGGCTGCATGGTGCTCAGTTGCCGTCTGGGCTTATACTATGACACACATGAATCTACTGGTGCCAAAACATAAGCTTCTATTTGTTAAGAAAAAGGAATCAAACACAAATCACCAATCAATCTCTGTTTCAATTTCATTGCAGCAACATCTGGACCACTAGTGCAGAGGTGGGAGTATCATAGTCACAATAAGATAGAATTTATCCTCACAAAACCAATTTCAATTTCAATGATATAATCTAGTTACAATTTTTTTTTTTTTTAAGTGAACACCACTTCAGCCAAGAACAAGATCTACCATTAAAGCCACCAAAAACCTGAGTTACCATCAATTTCAACAACCAAACTGGAAAAGAATTATTTATAGAAATACTAAATTTTAAGGGCTAGTCTATGAAATTTAAATTTTCCTACATGCATTGGATATGAATTGTACTGCTTTTATGATGGCTTTTAATCCTGTAAAAAACGAATCTCAGATAGCAATCCTTTGCTCTGTTTTTTTACTTCAAAAACCTGTGTATCAAGGGGATTTGGATTTCAACAAATTTTACATAATTTTATATTAAATAAGTACTAATAACTACTGCTACAGTTAATTTATACTTGTTACTCTGAAATTTGGAAAAAAATGTATTTATATTGCAGGTTAAAGATAGTAAAACAGAGTTGACTAACTCCCGTTCAGATTTCACTTCACAAATCCATTGCTAGAAATACTGAAGTACCTCCTGATATAGAAGCTGCTGGATGCCAGCTAACAGCAAAGAGATTACTGTCTTCATCTTTTATCCAGAGGACACAGATTGTAAGGGGAAAATACTAGAAGTGCACATGGACAGCTTCCCAGATCATGTACACACACTTAGTCATCAACCAGCTACCATGTACCATCTGCTTTACAGAAAACGTCTGACCTGCTGCCACTTTTGTTAAATTCACTGCAGGTCCAATACAGATTATCAATTTATACAGAGCTCCAATGTGTTAATAATAATTTTTTAAAAAGCAACAAAGGACACGGATGAAGAGGAACACCCCACCTGCTGGGAAATGTACCAGCACATCAATCACTTATACTTAAAAGCCATAAACACCTGATTCTTTCTGAAGTATCTAGTCTTCTGTATTGATTCAAAGCTTGTTTTGAATGACATCACACCCACTCTGTCAGGAAGAATACATCCCAATACAGCAACTACATACCTGATATGCACTGGTAACACAATTAGAGGTGCAAAAAGGCACCTGGAAAAGATAGTATGGGTGGAAGATCAGACCATAAACTCCGAAGAAATTGCACTCCATTTTTCACAATAAATAATACTTATAATAGAGAAAATCTAAAGCTTTCTGTGTGAAAACATCAGCACAAGCAGTTGTGAATCAGAATCTGAAACTCCTAATCTGAAAGCAAACTAAGACTGAAGAAAAACAAGCGTGCCTGTTGTGAAGAACTACAGAAGATAAAAGATAAACTAATATGGCAGGGACATAATCATATCCAAGGTACAAAACCCACAGCACTTTTCCACCTTTCTGAATTCGTGTTAGTCCGGGATGACTTTGGGTCCTTGTCGTTCTGAATCCCAAAAGGCTTCTCTTAACCAAATAGGAATGGTACCAATTTCTATGTATCGAGCAGTTGGAGGTTCAGTATTACCCAAGTTGTACTTATTTTTGTTTTAGAAAATCGATGTTAAGTATCTTTTTTTCTAAGTGTTTAATTAAAGAATAACAGAAACTCATTAATTTCTTCATTATTAGCGTATTTTACAGAAGTATTTGAGAGTGTATTCACAGAAGAATGGATTTGTTCAATGCTCTGCTTCTGCATGTTTCCCTCAGAAATGGCAGAAAATACTCTGGAAAGCTAAACTACATCTGGCTACAGACTATACGGTGGTCACAAGCGGAGACAAAAGATAAACTGAAAGTTTCATCCATCTCATCTGCTGCTTCAGGAAAAAGATGATGAACACTCTTCAAATCTAAGCCAGTCTACTGCATGGACCTTCTGGTACAACAGAGGCTCTAACTTTTTTTGACCCCCTAAAGAAGAAATTTTTTCACAGATTTCAGTGATTTCCTGATGTTAAGCCAGCCCATTTCCTTCCCTTGGTATCATCTCAACACTTCCATTATAAAAACAGATTACTAATAACTGCTTCCAGGTCAATAAGAAAAAGGCAGGTCAAGGACGGAACTGCTGAAAAGTGAGCTATAGAACAGCACAATCGGCTCAGTATTTTCAGTCACGAAATGAAAGACTTGATCTAGAAAAAATTTGATATGATAGGAGAACCTTCAGAAGGATAACCTTCAGAAAATAAATCTGGGAACAAGACACTTTGGAATAGTAAACTAACTCACAAACCTTCCAGTCTTTTCAACTTGGTGTTGCATCTAGACAGTAAACTTGTCACTGGAATAACACAATCTCTTCACAAAGATGGAACAATTAAAGGAAGTAAAAATTACATATATAACTGGTTGTAAAAATAAATATTTATCATCTTCTGACAACAGAAGTTTTACTTAACCTTCACAGACATGGTGAATTGCCACCAGTTGCCTTCTCTGTTCTTCTCATTTTGCATTTCTGAGCATAATCTATGAGGTTTGACAGGAAAACTATTTCTCCCATATTGAATAAAACTTTCAGCGAGCTACAAGTCTTGCAAACCTGTAATAGGACTGTTTCCCAGAGCTTGCGCAGAGGCACAGCTCGTTTCTTAAAAGGAAAGATTCAACTTCAAATTCCTTTAATGCAGAAATGCTATCCCCTATACAACTTAAAAATTTATGAAGAATTTATGGTTTTAACAAACTTTTAATCTTTTATTCCACTTATCCTACTTGCAACAAAACCATCATCAAGTCTGTTATTTTGCAGATGTCCAATTTTGGATAAAACTTTTGTAACTTACAGAAACTAAGTCTCATCTGATTGCAAATGCTCAGACAAGAGATACTTTGCTTAAGTTCTCCATCCAGTTAAGCACTGGTGATTCAATGAAGTGTAGTCCTCTAGCGGAAAAAAAAACCATATATACACAGAAACTCAAAATTGGATTAAATACATAAATGTTAAAATTCAATACAGGCAAAAAGAATCTGTTATTATCTGAAGCTCTGCAATTCTCAGTTACAGATATCTGAAAGGACTCTGCGTATCAAAAAGCACAGGGAACTTATGCAATAGAAGATCAACCCCTAACACAAAGAAATGTATTTGCAAGAGAAGTTATATGTCATCTTCAGAACAGTATGAAAAGAGAGAGAGCAGGAAGTAACAGAAAAAAAACACACCAGCTCCATCCTGACTGGCATATGATGAGTTAGAGACAACAATATAAAGGTATTTGTCAAGGGTATTTTAAACTAGATAGGAACCAGAAGAATACAATAATTAACTTTGTGTTAAGGTAGAACTTGGAGATGTTGAGCCCTTGCTACTCCCTTCCAACTGCAGAGTCTGCAAGTAATCAACATCACAGGAAAAAAATTACATCTTCAGAAGAATTTCAGAATTTTAATTCCAGTAAATATATTTTTAATAATTCATATGCAGAAATCCTTGATTTATTTTATAAAATATAATCAGTTTGCAAGCATCTTCCTTCAAGCACACATAGATGAAAACTTTCCAGTAAACTAAAAAGCCAGTGGTAGCATGCAATCTTGCAGCGTGTTTCAAGCCACAATATGAAATACACTCAGTTGCTAGCAGCAGCAAACTCAGTTCTTCCAGTTCAAAAAAATCAAGTTTTAAGGGTTCGTGATTTTTCTAAAGTGACTAAATGCACTTCCAATTGCTTACCTTTAAATTTGATGTCAAGACCACTAAATTCCAATTCAACTCCTTGAAGTGCTTCTCCTAGGGTTTCATGGTAATGGCTGATACTTTTTTTTGATCCCACACAGAAAGGAAGAGAGAAGTATTTGTATGTTTCTTGGCGATTGTGGTAGGGTCCTACTGTATTCATCCACAGAACAACTTCCTCTTTATCTTGGTACTGAAAGATAAAGTTATTGAGTTAGATGAGAAGCCCAGCTTAACAGAAATATTCAAGAAACTCTCATTCATATTAACTAGCAAGATTGTTCAATTATAGGCAACAGTTATATTTAAAGACAGTTGAGTATTTTTGCCTTTTGGGTGGCAGGGATTTTAGGACAAGATTTTCAGACTGCTTTCCTACAAAAAAAAAACAAACCCTTAGTTAATCATACAGTTTCTTAAAGCCTATCACCGAAATATCAGAAGAGGGGTATTCATAAAATTTAATAGAGAAGCAGAACATGCAGAGAGCAAAAGCGGAGAAAAGCAGTCTCAAAAATAAATAAGTTTTTACAAATTTCGTGGAAAGATGCATCGGTTAAAAGCAACACACTACTTATCTCCACTGACAGAAAGGAAATATACTAACGTCTTGTTAAACAAGATCTTAGCAAATAAATTAGGCAATCCGCCCACGGTGACAGGTATACTGTATTTTGCTAGAACGCAACTCCTTTTCCTTTTTGTAATGGTATAAATTACCATACAAAATTCCCGGAAGAGCACAACACCTCACAGGAATCACTAAAATTCAACTGTGGCATACCTACAGTAGCCAAGAGACAAAAAAGTTACACAGAAGGACTCTATTTTGATGCATTTCCAACATTCTCACAGTGAAAAAACAGAACAGCAAGGGCTCTGGTGGCTGCCATGAAATTTTTTCTGGGAATATCCACCCTTCACTTTCTCAGCTACTGTTAGCCAGGAAAACTTATACCTTGTCAAGGAGCCAGTAACTTTTTCTGCAAGCCCTTAAAACTTTTCAACATCAAAAAAGTTCTTAAATCCATTCATGTATCAGTATTCAAATACTGCATGAAGTCAGGAGAATTAAGTGATTCGAAATCGTTACTTGCACTGCATCTGAATGTATCTGGATGAGGCATCAGGTTTGCTGGTTACTACAAAGCCTCTCACCCAACACAACCTCTTCGCCCACTATAATTTCAACAGATTAGGAGAGACAGTCATTTAACTTTTAAGACAGGAAAAATCCTTCTTATAACTGTACACACCTGCAAATACAATCACCGTATAGATTCTGGGTTTTTTAAAGCACAAAAAATTAAAGTACTATTTTAAGACCAATACACAAAGAACACATTGGAGAAGAAAAGAAAGTCAAATGTTAATTAGCCATAACTACTTCATAGCACACAGCTGAAATACCAAATACACTTCTGCATCTCCCTTTTTAACAATTGAACAAAGGTTCTTCAACTTCATTTGTTCTAAATAACCAGTCATACCAACAGGTTAATTAAGAAATAATTAGCTACAGGTGGAATGCAATAAATTCTTCAGATGAGGTGTTCAAAAGTTAAACTCAAGGATTTAAACAAACATGCTTTAGGAAGCAATTTAATCCCTTTATACCAACATGTCATCTCACTTACAAGCCCCATCTTTTTTGTTTACAAAGATGCACAAGGGTCTTTCCAGCCTCTTATCTGAGTGATTTCCAACAAGAAGCTTTAAATATCTTACTAATTTCACTCTAAGCTACAGCAGAGATCAAACACTTATCAGTTTCACAAACCTGCCCGTTTGCAGAGCACACACTTCGGAACATTTCTGACAGCTAAAGAATGTCAATGAAGGAATAGCGAAAGAGTAAACAACACAGCAAGAGAAAGCAGACGTTCCTCCTCCCTGCCAGCAACCAGAAAGGTTATAACAGTACAGCACAGCTGTGCAAAGGAAGTTGGGAAAGAAGGAAGAAAGAGAGGAAAAAAAAAAAAAATCACAGTTCCAGCCCCCTCAGCAGCAGAAGCAGACAGTGGAATCTGCACTATGATACCACCTCTAGCTCTTGCCAACAGAGCAAGGGACAAGCAGGTCCATATCCTTCTAGACTGTTATGCCTAGCACATCTTCTGTTTCTTCCTCTAACAGCTGCAGAATATATTTTCAGCCCTTTCTCAAAACGGTCTTAACTTGTCAAGAGCCCACTTTAGCATTACTCCTTCTAATGCAAGAGCTTACATGTGAACTGACCTATGTCTATGTTCAACCTTCAGTAATAGAATATGACAACATCTTTAAGTCTGTGATTTCATCTTTGACAGTGCCTGAATAAAGCAAGCACCGACAATTGCCTTAGTTTCTTGTTTCTGACCTGGTTTATACTGAATTGGGACCTATGCATTTTTGGAACTATATCAGGTCACCTTCAAGTGACAGAAAACAACTCTTAAGAACATATTGATCAAAATCTTACTACATTTTCTGATCTAACAATGTAACTACATTGTAATTACAACACCTAAAACAACAAATTTGGTCTTTGCCTGTCTCTTATCTGCATGATGTTTAGCCCTCCTTCAGGGCCTGTAAGTTTTTCCCATTATGACTCCAACATGCCATCAGTGTGCTCTGAAGAGAAAAGGGACTAAATCAAACATAAGCAAAGAATTAAGTCTACATTTATTGCTTCTTCCTTTCTCACAACCATCCCAGAACAGCACAAGAGAAAGCTGTTCAGGACTGCTACATAAATGAACACGGCACCTCAGCCATCCCAGGTTACACCTCACAATTGCCAAGTAGCAGTCACAGCAATTAGCAGTCCATCAGGTGCTCCCAGTGCCCTCTCAAAATTAAGAGGCATGCAGTAAGAAATCCAGCTTAAGCCACTTCAGCCTGAATTTAGGGGGGGTGGTGGCGTCTAGTAGAAACTCAAACAGATTTTCTTCTGCCTACATTTGTTGGGTTTTGCTCATTCTCAATTATAAAGACGAGCTTTCACGTTTAAATAAGTCTCCCTGTCATGACATATCTCATCCTTATAATCTTACTCTAGTGGTATGTTATTTGGTGGAAAAACTCAGTGCTATCAGAGTTCAAGTTTGTGGTGGCTTGGATTTTTAGTTTTGTGTTTTTCCATTACTGCCTTCACAATATCAAAGCATCTACAACTATAACAGTGTCAATACACAGGAAAACAATTCTTATTCAGGCAAGACAAAAAACTAGAGTATCTTGTAAAACTGTTCTGTCACCTCTATATGAGGACTTCTAGGTTCCAAGAAGGCTAACACAAAACACACCTCCCAGCAAAAACGTCACACTACAAGAGAGATAACATAAAAGAAGTTGCTAAAGAGTCTGAGTTCTTCTAAGGGAGCCACAGCACTCAGGTACACTATATCAGTATCAGTCACATTTCGGTCAGCACATTCACTGTCAGTCCTGCAGCAGTTTCAACTACTGTCGTGCTCTTTTATATCTTCTTTCAGCATTTATGCAGTCTCCAGCAAACTGTGGAGAAAGAATGTGGAACCATTGAAAACGGGAAGAAAATTTCAGCTCCATAGCACCACCTTTCATTCTCAGCAGACAGAACATATTGAAGAAACTTCTCACTTCATCAGGAACTGATCATCCTTAGACATACTGGACAAAATGACAAAACAGAAGAACCCTGAATTCTTGGTTTTATTCTTCTGATAAGCAACTGTTCAACTGTACCCTCTAAGCTCTGAAGGCAACAGAGCAGATCAAAATCCTATTGCCTTCTGTCAACCTTGTCAGGCAAGCCAGCAATAACTCATAGTCAAAACCAGCACAGAATAAGACAGGATGTGAAGAGTCCAAAGGTCTCTTTCAATATAAAACTCGCACAACCAACTGTTAAGGGTGAAAAGCTTCCTCATCTTCTGCTACCTAATCAGTAAGCAAAACACTTTGACTCATTGAGATTCCAACAGACCCCAGAATGTGCCAGATGCACCAAATTAGATGGTGGAAAGGCAGCTTTTCACATGCTAGACCAACATCAGTGTCCCATTAAGAATACAGTAACTGACAAGGCAAAAAAGGTCAACAAATAAGATGCTGCAATCTCTACGCTGGTACATCTTGGCAAGCTCTTCTGGTTTTGGTTCATAGGACGGGACAATATACTGCATATAGGTCAGAGATCCTAATTAAATTCACAGACACAAGCGTTTAACAACTTGGTAACGGTGCCAGAGTTCACCACTTTCAAATATCAGAGAAGACTACAAAACACAATTTTAATACCTTTTATTTACTTAATTTATGAAAAATGTAGTACTCATTCCGTAAGCATAGCAAGTTTGGCTTTGTATCCTTTTCTGCACTAAGCTTCATACCAGCTCAGTAATTTCCATAATTATATGGAGTATATAATGATCTATTTCAACTGTGCAAAACCACAGAGGCAGCCTGAACAAGTCTCAGCATCCACAAGAGTTACCTACCATATGCTGGTACAATCTGATTAATGGCAGGTAAACCTTCAGAAACTTTTTTCCATAATTGCCACCCAGGTGGTGGAGGACCAGTCTGCACCTCAAGTGCAACCACGTATAAGCAACAATCCTCATCACAGCTGGGAACATCTGTTCCAAAGCAGCACAATATGGTTACACTGCCTGTTCAGAGCAGTGGGCTATAGAGATCTTGTGCATGTGCAAGCTAAAAATCACATTAAACCCATCTATACCGGCAACAAGGCAACACTACAATTCTAATTCCCTGCAGAACATTAAACTGGCACGAAGCTTGCACAGTTTGACCTGGCCAAGCGTGGACTTCTTCCATGACAACTACTGAAAACATCATGTGTGTGTGCCACTTTGAGGCTTAATACAATTTCCATACATCTGTATGGTTTAAAAACTATTCAAGCATAACAATGCTGAGACTATCTTCAGCACAGTACATGCATCTTTCTTTCCTGTTACCCAATAGGGCACTTGTGATGTGGAAAGCAACTTACTGTTCTCTTCACACAACCGCAGAAATTAACATGGTAGTCCTAGAAATAAACTCTTCATTCTACAAAACAATTACGGCTAGATTAAGTGAGTATATAAAAGGCTGGATAAAAGGATATGAAACTGGCAGGTTGTTGACATTCTTTGTTAAACCATGAAAATGCTTCGCAAAAAACGATGGAGACACAGAGAGGATCACAACT